CCTCCTCCTCCAAAGCCAGGCATTCCTCCAAAGCCTAGCTGGTGGTGAGGGCCAGCATTAGATGGAGGGCCAAAGGGGGGCCTGCGCCCTGGTTGACCACCTCCTGGCCCTCCTGGGCTTCCCATGAAGTTCATGCTCGCACCCATTCTGCCTCCACCTCCATACCCACCTCCTCCACCGGCACCTGGACTGGGGAGAAATGGAGCACCACCTGGTCCACCTGCACCGCTAGGTCTGGATGGAGGCCCAAAGTCATCGTCAAAGGGGTTGGACGCGACCAGATGATCTACCATAGGAGTGGGAGGAGGTGCGAACTCAGTGAGGTGCGAGAACCCAGCCGCCTAAAAGAAAACAAATTACAAAGTGTTTATTTTTGCAGCTTTTATAAGATACAGACCGTATTTCAGCTTTTAGTTCACTGAGACAGTCTGCACAAGTTGCTCACCTGAGTTGTGGACTTCCTTGCCTTCTTCTTCTCCGGGCTCTTCATCTGGGAAGCTAAAACAGTAAAATATAGAGAAAAAGGGGGGGAAAGAGGTACACATAAGTAACAAAGATTATTGCATCCATCCTTCATTTTAGACGTCCACCATCAATCAGGAGAAGCATTGAATTTGGATTGGCCAATACCCCTTAGTGACAGAGTGGAGCAGCTTAAGACCTAGGGCCTCTTTTTATCCCAAGTCCAACAGTTGTGATGGGTTCAATGATGGGACATAGACTGGCATGAGAACAAAATGCTGAACATCCAGGCGTAATCATCACCAACGTTATGAAAGCCTTGAATCGCAAATGACCCAGGCAGACCAAATGACCCAGGCAAGAGGGAGTGAGGCCGCAAACAGAGGCAAAAGAGGTAAGGTCAATGAGGGAGACAGGAAAAGACTAAGACATGAGAACGAGGAAACGGAGTTGAAGATACACTGATAGCAAGATAGACATGAACCCCGTTCACAGATTCACTCTGTGAGAAACAGCCACCATTGGAGACAGTCGTGAAGTTTACATATGGGGAGGCAATAAAGGGATTGCTAACAGCACCAGTGCAGCCCATTGCAGCGCAGTAATGGATGATTCCGATCGGATTGGGAGATGGGTGAAATTAATTCCTACCTTTTCGCCTTCCTTGTCCCGCCAGTAGTCTCCCCGATTCGGCAGCCATTAGCTACTATGGCTGTCGGTGAAGTGGCAAATCACAGATCATATGCAAGAAAAAAAAAAGTTAAAAATGACGACGTCTTGAAGGCTATATGCCAACAGGTTGAATCTGCCTTCAGGTCATGTCTATAGTGGTCCTGAGGTGCAAAACACAACAACACTGAGCAAAACACAACAAACAAAAACAAGCAAGAAAAAAAAATCAGCAAAAAAGAAAACAACAAACAAGGTTACAATTTAGGCAACACTGGTATACTAATTTTTCAAATTAGTTTTGCATTATTGTCTGAAAAGTTTCTTTACTATTCTCATTTCATAATGTTGTAGAGTTTCCTTCTTTGATTTTCTGCATCATGTTTTAGTGAAATTGCTGCGTTTTTTTCCAGTACTGTTGATTTGCACCTCAGGTTCACCTTACTTGTCTTTATTACTAAAGCTGTAATTGAAGCATTTGAAATCATTTGAAGAAAATTAAGTAAGCTGGTACTATAACATCGGGCCCAGGTCTTCTGCAAACCCCTCTTGAGCTGCAAATATTTTGCCACGCCACGGTGTCTGTCACGCTGGGATTTGGTCACCAAATACATGTCAGGCAAAACGCATTAACGCAACAGGCTAACCTGAAAACAAGCCAGTTTTTACTCGGTGAGTAAAACTGGTTGCTTACTACACTGCCAGAACAAGCATGTAACAGAGACCTATGGCAAGCCAATTTCATGTAACAGACTTATACGTCAAAGTAAATCTTCATCATTAAGTTCTAATCTAAAATGATATCATCTACGTTTTAATTAAAAACTTGATGCAATGTCCACAGTGTAATTATTATGGCCAGTAACAATTACACAGTGGATATCTGAAAAGTGAGTTTCTCCTAAAAAGAAATTCTATTTCAGATATTCACAATATTATTTTTTAGATAGGAAGGACATGCTCATAGATGTCAGGATCAGGAATAAAACATAAACATTTGTCTTAGCAGGAATATTATTTTAACTATATAAGAAGTTGATGTGTTTTGATTGAGAGGAAGTCATTTATAGCTATACTCTGAAACACAAATCTAGATATTACCATTTTAAACAGCCACTTGCACTTTTGAAGAAGTTTCCATTTAACTTATAAGATCTTGACACAGGTCATTTTTACATTTCTGACAACTTTGATTATAATTATGACTAATGCACTTTTGACTATGAGGAAAGATATTATTGATATCCAAGAGTAATTTTAAATAGGGACGTGCTATGATTACATGTTACAAGGGCCTGCCATAGAGCACCCCATCCTGCTCTAATCACTTACAGATGTTAGGATAAAATTTAGCTGTCTACCGCAAACTGGTCACTAAATTTGCTCACTGACTAGCCACGTTACTCAATGTAGCTAACCAGTTAGCGTTAAAAATTCCCTAAGCAGACGCCAAGACTAGTACGCAAATCGAGATCTGTTATTTGTTCCTTTACAGTCACACGCGAAAACCTGCAGCTAACTACACACATCGCATCATCGATGACATAAAACGATCGATTAAGGGGTGCGAACTGCTGTTTACAATGCTAACATTAGCCTGCTAGCTAAAGATAGCTAGCCATCTTTGCAGTCTGTCGTGGAGCAAACTGTACCCTTTCTTTCTCCGTCGCTCGCTGTGCTGTCTTGTAAATTCAAACTCTCTGATGTGTCATTGCCAGAAAACCAGTCCTCACACGGCGTATACTTGTCGATCCATCATTTAACTATAATTCATTCAAAAACGCAAATTTTTGCCATAATTATCATGGCCTTCTTTCGCTACCGGACAAAGAGGGATAAGCAGGAGTGTTGCGCACTATGGAAGGTTCCATCTCGATAACAAAACGGGGGTGTCGATTGGTAACGCTAATAATTGCATTACTATTTTGGGAGTACAACTCTTAGAATAAACATATATTACATAACATATGAAACGAAGAAAAAATATTTGATATATCAATCTCAAGACACAAATGTTATATAACACATAAAAGCCTAGCATAACATTTACCACCCCTTTAAATGGCACAGAATGACCGGGTCTGAACCAACTTGCTGACGCTCCCAGTTGCAGTGTTATTTTAATTTAAATCTAATGAAATTTCTATTTTATACTGCTCTGCTATTTTTAGACACAATTTTTATATGAATTTTTGGACCTAATAAAAAATATAGTTCAGGGAAAAGTTTTTGGGAAAATGCCCAATAGTGTGAGAGAGCATGTTGATTTACTCATATTTGTGTGCTGATAAAATTCACTGGTTTACTGTGTTTTATGTAGAGATGAACTTTATTTACAAGTATTTAACCCATTAAAATTTCTCCCATTTTATTTTAATTTATTACTTTTAGCTTTTAACTTGTGTTGTGGTTATTTTTGCATCACAGTAAAGAGTTGTACCGCCCCTTTTATTATGCCTTCCTACACACACTCATAAAAGAAAAATAGGGAGATTCAGGACTAGAAAAGGAAGCCTCTCTGGGAATAGGACTGACTGATATGGAAGCCCATTTCCGCCACCCTGATAAAAAATAAAACTTGTATCTCATAATTATGACTTAGCTGTCTCATTATTATGAGATAGTATCTCATAATTATGAGATAGTATCTCATAATTATGAGACAGTATCTCATAATTATGAGATAGTATCTCAATTATGAGATAGTATCTCAATTATGAGATAGTATCTCATAACTATGAGATAGCTAAGCCATAACTATGAGATAGTATCTCATAATTATGAGATAGCTAAGCCATAACTATGAGATAGTATCTCATAAATATGACTTAGCTATCTCATGAGATACTATCTCATAATTATGAGATAGCTAAGTCATAATTATGAGATAGTATCTCATAATTGTGAGATACTATCTCATAATTGTGAGATACTATCTCATAATTATGAGATAGCTAAGTCATAATTATGAGACAGCTAAGTCATAATTATGAGATAGTATCTCATAATTGTGAGATACTATCTCATAATTATGAGATACTATCTCATAATTATGAGATAGCTAAGTCATAATTATGAGACAGCTAAGTCATAATTATGAGATACTATCTCATAATT